AATAAAAAAAAATTAAAAAAAATTAAAAAGTATATTCCCTGGACCAGTAGCATCACCTGGGAACTCAGAAATGCACATTTAGTGGTTCAGAATGGATAGCGTGGGAAATTTGGGGACAGGGAGTATTTGGGGTTGTGGCAAAGTGGGGAGTGTATGCCTTGTTTTAAAGAGGCAGCTATCCTTGAGTTTTATGTGTTCCTCATAGGCTAGTTGCAAATTCATTAAAAATGATGTTAAGGGCCAGTGATTTAGCTCAGTGGCATCGTGCCTGCCTCAAAAGCACAAGGGCCTGAGGTCAATCCCCAGTACCAAAAAACAAAAAACTGATGGGACCAGGGATTTAGCTCAGTGTTCCACTTCCTGCTTCGCAAGCACAAAGAACCAAGTTCAATCCCCAGTACCAAGAAAAAAATAAAAGTGATGTTCAAAGATCTCTATTAACTCTTTACAAGCTACCGTGCTAACTGCATTCCCACTTACCAAATTATGGCTGCCCACGCTAACATACCTCTGTTTTTGATTTTACTCATATTGTTTTTCAGTGCTTCCCAGAGAATACTAGTGCAGTCTCAGAACAATTCCATCAGGAAGTTCTATATTTCTTTTTTTGTTAGGGTCTCGTTATGGCCTTGAACTCACTGTTTACCTGAGGCTGGCCTCAAACTCACAGCATTCCTCCTGCCTCAGCCTCCTGAATGATGGGATTACCATGCCTTGTTTACCAGCACATTTCTGAGTCTGTCCTCCTTTCTACTCCCCCAGCTCTGAGTTTCCCCAAGGTTACACCATAACTTATTCATATCTGTTGTATCCCAGTCCCTGGCCTATTTCCTAGAGCTCAGATTATTATTGAACAGAGAAAAAGTGTCAAAAACTTAGAATATCTACCTCTAAATTCTATTTTCTTGGAGTTTTAAAGGAATGAGGCTATGAGCCACTAAGAATTAGGGTAAAGAGTAAGAAAGGAACGAGGAGTTCTTCATTTGAACTCCTTGAAGAAAAATGATATTCAGATGCAGTAAAATGCTTGGTTTGTTGGCTGTCTGCATTCATAGACTGATCCCACTGTATATGATGAAAGCTTAGCATACAGAGGTCCTGGTGGGTGGGTTCAGACAATCAGTGAGATGCCCTAGTGCCCACAATGTTAGGATATGGCCTCACTGCTATAGCTTGTTTCCTTTCCCACTCACACTCTGAGCATACTCCATAAAAACATGTTGGAAGCTCCACTCCCAGCAACATAGAATTCTGAATTAGAGCTCTCAGTTCACAAGGTTTTCCTATATGCCAAAAATATCACTCTGATCTTCCTGTACACCAAGGGTAAGTCTCACAAGTCCTAGGGTCCTGGGATTAAAAGGGAAAGCAGAAAGCTATGGAAACAGCCTAGTTATCCATCAGCAGCTGAACAGACAAAGACAATGTGATACATATACACAAAATGGAACATTATTCAGCCATAAAAAGAACGAAGAAATCATATCATTTGTAGGAAGATGGATAGACCATTATGTTAGATGAAATGAGCCAGACACAGAAAGCCAGATATCATGTGTTTTCTCTCACGTGAGAAACTTAGAAAACTTTTTTTTAAAATAAGGAGATGACATGAAAGAAGACTAGAAGGGAGACTATTAGAGAAGAGGAAGGAAATCTGGGAAAAGATTAAGGTAATGGGGGTTGGTGATCAAACTAAGTGACATGCATGTATGAATGTGCCAAAATGAAACCCACTATTCTGTATAACTAATATACACCAATTTTTTTTTAAGGTAAAGCAGAACTGCGGAAATTTGAAGATGGTGATATGATTGTAGCAGCTATTTATCAAACATCTATGTGTCAGGCACTGTACCAACCTTTAAAAATGCCATTTCTAGCCCACTTACAGCCTTGTAAGGAGTTATGATTTGCCTCATCTGACAGATGTAGAAACTGAAGGTCAAAGATGCTAAGGGATGTGCCCCAAGTCACTTGGTTACTATGTAAATAATGAAGCCAAGATTTGATGGATGCACATTGAGGCAATACTCTTAAGTGCAATAAAGAGGACACACACGTGTAAATACCGAATAGTTTCTCTGGTGTGAGAAACTGAAAGTGTAAATAAGGACTAAAAGGTATAATAGATAATGTGAAATAGGAAGAAAAGGGGCAAAGGGAAAGGGGAAGTGGGAGGGCTAGGGGAAAGGAAAGAAGGGAATGGAATTAATATGAGAAAAAGAAAAAATGGAAACAAAGTCTTTGAAAATAGGGAGGGGTGGAGGGATTGAAGGGAGGGCAGGGGAATGCGGAAAAAATAAGAAACAAGATGGATTACGTAAAGGTACAAATTTCCAATAATGAATGTCATTATATTGTGTACCTTAAATGTACCAATAAAATTAATTTTTTTTTCTTTTTTTTTTGGTACTGGGGATTGAACTTGGGTCCTTGCGCTTGCAGGACAGGCGGCGGAACTGCTGAGCTAAATCCCCAGCCCAATAAAATTAATTTTTAAAAAAAGATTTGAACCAAGGTCTGACTCCAAAGCTTTTGGATTATGCAAAACTATTTCCCAATAATTATGGCAATGGGGTGGTGGTGATAATGGTGGATGATGATGATGGTGATATACAAATTATTTACCATTCTGAAAAACAACAGTACCTGAGATGTCTTAGTGAAAAGACTGAAGAGTTTACAGCAAATCACAACAGGGTTAGTGCTGGAGAATTTCAGCAAGGTTTGGCTGGCCACAACTCATTTCCACAGCTTGCTTCCTGGTTATGACAGGCAGAAGATAAAGCCAATTAGAGCATTGCAGGTTACCTGGAAACCACATACCCCAGAGGCAAGAACACACACTTTCTCCAGAATGAATAATCAACAGATTGCTTGTCCTACATCTGGGAATAGAGACACAAAGTAAAGATGACTCACTATCATTAGGAAATCTGAAGCTGTGTTACCTGCCTCTACATGTTTTAATGGGGACCCAGGAAACTTCCCAGTCCTAGTCCAATATCACAAATTAGTTACCCAAAAGAATATTAGTACTGGCATTTCAAACTTACTTCATTGCTGAAAAATTGACTTCTGCCTGTAGCAATCCTACAATATAAAAAGAGAAACATCTACTGCCCTTGCTATGCACATCCTCACTAAAAGATGTTCAGCACCTCACAATGTAGCTATCCCACTGTGAAACAGTTCCTAGAGACTTTATGGTTCTCCTGAAACCTGCCCCCCTAAAATCTGTCAAAGATAACTTATATAAGATTAACCCAATACCTGACTTTTTAAATTTAAATTGACAACTAGACAACAACAACACCTTAGTGTCTCTTCTCTTTCTCAATATACTGAATAGTTTCTCTGGTGTGAGAAACTGAAAGTGTAAATAAGGACTAAAATGTATAATAGGTAATGTGAAATAGGAAGAAAAGGGGCAAAG